AAGTTTGTCTGTCTGTCTGTCTGTCTATCTATTATCTTTAGTTTAGACCTTTAGGAGTCTTGATGAGTTTTTTCCAGAATGGAGTATTTCAATTAGGAGGAAATTGCACAAAACAGGGGCACAGGAAGGAAAGCATGGCTGGAGTTTTAGGCAAGGATCTAATAATCTATCCCAATCCCTTCTATCAGGGACCATCAACAGGCCTGATCTTAAGGTGTCTTATGGGTAGTCTTAGTTGCTTTGATTAAGACAACGTCTGTTATTCTTATACTCCAAAGACAGCATTCCACAACACTTCTTTCAGCTGTGTATGCTCAGCTCCAGAACCCATGTCCTGAGTGATGGGGACATATATTCTCATGAAGGCTGGTATGTCAGATTGGTAGGTTTCCAGGCCTTAACTAGGCCTGCATTATGTGTCCCTTCCTCTCAGTCTCTTTATGTTACAGGGTTCCCAGCTACTATGTAGTATGTCCTGGCTGCCAGAACAGAATGAGAGGATGTGTCAGGGATAACTTCTTGTTTTGAGTTTTAATGGGGGACTCCCTAGGGAGCTGTTCCATTATAGGTTGTTCTCAGGTGCTTGTATCCAGCAGCTTTGGGGGCTCCTCAGCCCCTCAGTCCCTCAGCCATTTTCTTTTTATGTCTCATGCAGGGCAGGCCCTGTCTAGGTGTGATGTGTTTTGATACAGGAAAGAAGCAGAAAGACCTATGTCAGAGACTGGCAGAAACAGGTGGGGCTCTGGAAGCTAGCTCTAGGAGTGTAGCTTCAGGAAAATGGGTTCACTGGGGACATGGACATCAGGAATTAACTAAAGAAGTAGACGATCACCCTCTATAGATGCCATTTGCAAGGCATGCCCAGCAGCAAAGCATGCCTCACAGCAGTTTAGGGGAAATCACATCTTACCTTTTATGTGAAATACCATGGTCAAATGCCTTGGCTGCTGGGGAAGCTCAGTTAGCCCTGTAGTATATGAGCTTCCTTGAGAAGTTCTCAGGACTTGGCTGGAATCAGGATCCTCTGGCTCCCAACTAAGCCTTCCTTCAACTTGTTCTCTAGGGTGGAAATTCATATGCTGAATTCTATAACTTTAGATAGTAAAGTAGTAGGGCCTTATGAATGGGATCAATGTCCTTGTGAAGAGGTTCCACAGAACTCCCTTGTTTCCTTGTCCAATTGAGGATAGTGTGAAATGGCACTATCTGTAAGCTAGGAAGAAAGCCCATTCCAGAACCCAAGCCCATTGGTTCATAGTCCCAGACTTCTAGCTTGCAGAGCTTGAGAAATAAATTCTTAGTGTTTAAGTGACTTAGTTTATAACATTTTGTTATGACTGCACAGATATCCGCTAAAATAGGAGTCCTCCATCCTTTTACCTCCCCCCTCCCTAATCTCGGCATGACCTGGGCAAGGTTTGTGCACAGGAATGGGAGTTCCTGGTGCAGTTTGTTTCAGATTTGTATCTGGGATGCCTGAGACATATTAGGACTCTTGAAAATGGGCATGTGGTATACAGCCACACTCCACTTTATCAGAAGGCTAGAGTTAAGTACTGCCATACCAATGATCTTTGAATTCTTTGAGTGGCTCTAGCCCCTACCCTCCTTGCTGCCAGGACTTATTGGAGCCTTATACAAGGTGGCAAACACCATATAAGATGATGTGTTCTGTGTGGGTTTATGTGTCCTGTTTAGGATGGCATACACTGGGTGATATACACCATACAGGGTGACATACTTAATGTGTGATGGGTTTGGACTTCTGGAATCAGATGTGTGTGCAGGGACGGAGCTGCAACAGACAACTAGGCTATGTCTTGAGTGTCTAGAAGATGCCACTCATTTCTTTCATAATAATCAACCAATCATTGGTGCTAACCATGTCTTGGTAGCTGGCTCATGGAATGTAGGGTTCATAGTTACAGAAGCAACTAAAGACAGTATTAGGCACAACTCTGTTGATAGACCTGGAGACTGACTAAGGAACAGACTTTAAGCAGCCCTGCACCTGTTCATGCCTAGTGAAGACTTGGGAGGGGCTTTCATTGGTGCTTCCTGGGTTGTTTTTTTATCTATATCTATATGATGATCACAGTCTATGTTCTGTGCTAGGCCTAGGAATCAAAGATGTTTCTCTAGCAGGAAGTACAGAAGGCATCACTGACTGCAGCTCAGGACAGATACTTGGGATCCTTCACCTCAACAGCACCCCAGGGGCTCTCTCATAGTGCTGCTGATAGTGTGATTTGAGTACATGTATTACAGTTGATTGTTTGCAGAAACATCAGACTGTGATTTATAGGCACAGTGAGGGAGGTGAAATCCCTGGATCCTGTTTTCACCTTCTCTGTCTTGGATCATGCTTCCAATAGATATGGTGGAGAAAGAAAGCCATTATGCAGAGGTACTAGCCCTTGAAGGCCTCTGTTCTCCTTGGTGGGAGGCTCAAAGGTCACAACTTTGGTGCTGTTTGGAGGTACCCTGAGGTTGCCTTCTGTATTTTAAGCAGTCAGCTGTAAGAGTACACATTGTTGTTTGACAAAATAGTACAAGTAGAAATGCTGAAACAGGTCTGGTGTCTCTGAAGTATCTTAACCCTTATTTTACTTATTTCCTCAAATATATTATGTAATAGGAGAGGTTAATGTTCTCCTCACTCCCTCTTAGAGAAGCTCTTTTCTATCTTTGAAGGCTTTTTACTTTTGCTGTTATTTTAAATATTTTAAGAGTAATCTGATAAGCGTCCCACAAAACCTCTGTGCACTAATGGGTGGTCTCAGGGGAGGTTGGGTGTGTGGGGTGGCCCTGCTTTTAAGAGCCATGCTTTGGGGAAAGAAAAATACCTGGTTTTGGTTGTGAGTCTTGACTCACATATGCAAATCAGACAGGTAGCATCTTCCTCATAGCTGTCCTTTCCAGAGGGACTCTCAGGCAGCAACAGCTGTCCAGAAGGGCCCTACTACATGTGTATGGTAGCTATCAGCTGGGTGGTGAGCTGGGTATCCTATGCTTCTGCATTCCAGCTATCCACTGCTGGAAAAAAGTAGATTTGAACTCTGGGCTTCACATACTCAGAGGTATAGCCTCTCTCTTTGGGTGGGGCTAATGGAACAACCACTGGTAAAGAATAGAAGAAAGTAGCATCAGTGTATAAAGCGTTCTTTTCCAGTGGGTTTTTTTGTGTATGTGTATATATGTTTGTGTGTGTGTGTGTGCATGTGTGTACATATGTGTGCACACATGCATGTGGAAACCAGAGGTCAATGAAATGTCTTCACTTATTCTCCACCTTATTTTTTTTTTGAGACAGGGTCTCTCACTAAACCTGAACTCTTATAAATTGACTAGCCAAAAAATCACAGAGATCTCTGTCTCTCCCATTTAAATCATAAATCAAGGATTTATAGGTGCATACTTCCATACCTGGATTCTGCCTACCCCTTGAGTACTGGGAATTGAACTCAGGTTCTCATGCTTGCATGCGAAGTACTTTAGTGACTGAGATCTCTCTCCAAGCCCTCTCAGTTGGTTTTCATGTGGTTTTTGCAAGACCAAACAAAGCAGGGCTCCTTGACACCAGATATTTCCATACTCCCCAGGAAGATATAGAAGGGATATGTTCTGTGGCACAGGCCACAAGGTGGCCTCAGGTGTTCTGGGCAAGCAATTCACGCTGTAGTCTGAGAATGGAAAAAAGAGAGACTCTTAGTATGGATAACTACATGAGATTGAGTGAAACCTTAAATTTTTTCTTCTGAATTTGACCTAAAACTTGAGCCAAATTTTAACTAAACAGAATCTCTTTCCTTTCATAATCCTAATTTGTCAGAGTTTCTCATAGTTTAGTCTTGAAGAGGACCATCACAGCACAAATTCCACAAGTCAGATGTGTAGCCTGAATTTGATTCTTACCTCTTTCCTTAACTGTACAGGGAAGCAGTATATGTGAGCCTGAGTTTATTTTTCTGAAAATTGGGCTTAGCAAAGCCATATATGTTGTTTATTCACTGTGACTAATAAAATGATATGGAAGCCCTTCACAATTTTAACTGTATATGGCAAGTAGAACAGGATACCTCCAATCTCTAAAACCCATCAGTTTAATGTCTAGAACATACAAGTCATTCCTTTTATTTATAAGAAAAAAAGCAACTCCTAGGGAAAGATGTGTAATTGATACAAATAGGAAGTGTGCATGTGGTTCCTTGTCCATAGGGTTATTAGTGAAATTCAAATTAAAATAGCACTGAGACAAGTGTTCCTGCCAGAAGGAGCTATAATGTCTGGTGGGAACTGCTAGAGACAGCATGGGTATGAAGGGCTGGACAGGACATGGCTGGTCTGGAACAGCACTGTAGAGAGAGCTTAAGGCTTCCAAGGGAGGATGATTGTCCTGATCAGCATTACTGCTGATGGCAAAATTACTTTAGGCTAGAATTCATAAATCCTGTAGGTTTTAGTCAATTTGGAAGGGATACACTCACTCCAAGCAAATTTGTGGATCATGCTAGAAAGCCTCAGGGAACAGCTTTGGTCCTCAGGTGAAATGAAATCATCTTGGAGCAGGGTTGGTGGTCTCTTTGAAGTCTGGCCCCATCCATAAAAAAGAAATAAAAAACTTTCTCAGGTCAGAACCAGACAATCCTCTGTGTTGAAGGCTCCAGTTTCTGGGTCTCCAAGAAAGTCCCAGATCCAAAATGAAGTCCTTGCACAGTTCAAGAAAGTGACACTGAAGATGGGAAAGAGGGAGAAATCATTCTAATCTCAATCCTGTTCTGCTCCCCTTGAATTTGTGACAATTAAAGATAGTGGCTTGGAGTTGCCTCTATATTGGCTATAAGGAATAGAGCTGGGAGAAGCTGTGTAAACTAGAAATATGAAAAAATTGTGTTAAATAAACCAACCTAGGTTTCTGTTTCTAAGTAGAAGCATTTCACAGTAGAGGCTATACCAGTGGTGATGCTCAGGAAACACTGTTTTTGTGTTTTTTCTCACAGATGTTATGCTGCTGTTTCCACTGGAGGCAACGAAAGTAGTTTCCTCAGGTACATTCCCAGGCAATGGTTCTTCACTGTTTCTGTCCACTTCTCCATGGTTTAGTTGCTGGGGCTTTGCTTTGTCTTCTAGTCACTCCTGGGATTGCCTACTTTCCCCCCCTTCCCCCTAAGAAGGTAAATTGGATCCTAGGTACCATTGCAATGTTTGGGTCTTACCTTGTTGTCTGGTTCTGTCCATAACTGGTGATGACACTTCTCATCCATGCCTCATACACATTTATGGGCACACATTCAGTGGGCACTGGCTTCAGACCCTTTTTAATGCTGTCATTGTCACAGGCCTTAGCTTCCTCATCTTGTGCATCTACTGTTCCTCTTATGAGATGTTTAGGGAACATACTATTTCTTAGGTGGTATCTTTTTTAATTTTCCTGTTGCTATGATATCCTGACAAGAACAACTTAAGAGACAAAGGTCTTATTTTAGCTCACAGTTCAAGGTATAGTCCATCAAGGTGGGGAAATCAATGAAGCAGGATCTTGAAGCTGTCAAGTTACATCTAAAGTCAAGTTATATCATAAGAGAGCAATGAATACACACTAGTTCCCTTTTTCCATTTTATATAGTCTAAATGCCTTCCTCGGGGAATAGCCTCACCCACAACTGATATGGGTCTTCCCAAACCAATTAACATAATCAATATAATTCCCCTACAGGCATGCCCAGAGTCCCATCTCCCAGATGATTCCAGGTTCTGTCAAGTTGGCAATAAACACTTAACTATCACAGGCAGTTGTCAGAAAACGAGTATCATTCACTTTTTCTATCACATTCCACAGTTGGCAGTGGTAGTATTTTTGATTCACATGAATGGGTGTTGAGACTCAAAGAGCATAAACAACTTGCTCAGAGCCACATGACTTTGAAGAAGCTGAGCCAGGGTTTGGACCAGGTCTGGCTCCAGATCGCAGACTTTCTCCTCCTTGCTGTCATTGTCTATAGATCAAAAGCAGTGACTACAGCTACAAAATATACCTCCCTTCCCAGTATAATCCTGGTTCACTGGAGCAGCCACACAAACATCCGGACTGGCAGGTCTTTGGCAGGGTCCTGGGGGTGGAGGCTATGCAAGTCTCCTGACAAGGGTAGGGGTTTGGGCCTAGGAGCAGAGCCAATCCTGCTTTGGGGTAACCTGGCTGGTCTGGTCTGAAATCAAACCCATGTTGGCAGAGGCTCAGATACCACAAAGGTTAGCTCAGGGCAGGGTAGTGGTGTCGTTAGCCATGATTTAGCCTCCTGGGTGTTGTGTTCTTTCTTGGCTCACTTCTGTTACTGTCTGTGTCAGTCACACTCCCTTCCTTCATAACAGGATGGCAGACAAAACTGCTGCTCTGGACTGCTCCAGCGACTGAAAACATTGAGATAAGCCCCTCAAGGCAGAAATCCCTATAACTGCAAAGTGTCCATTCCCTGACCTTGCTCTTTGAGAGTTGTGTCTCCTTTCTGTGGCCCTGAATGGGCTCTGGTGATATTGTGGAAGCATCCCTGATGATTTTTATATTTACATTCTGGAAACCTTTTCTAGTTGAAGGTCTTTGATTGAATATTCCTCAACTATCAGCTGAAGAAACAATCACAGCTTTTAGTCTTGCAAAAGCTGTACTTCTGGGACTCCTATATTTTTCTCAATTCTTCTGCCAATTTGCTTATTCTTTTGTAGATTAACTTTTTCTGCCTCAAGGTATGTTATTGAACACAGTAGAAACAACTAATTCATTCTAGTGATGTTTTGCTTGGAAAGTTCTTTGCAATGCCTGGGCTATACTAGGTACATTTCCTGTTTTCTAGGTTATCACATGCAGTTTTGTGATTTAAAACAAAACAAATTACATAACAGAAATTGCCATTTCCCAACTTTTGACACCAGATTCTTTTCTAGTCAGCTATTGCTGCAACAATGCTGTGTAATAACTGCCCTGCTGATCCCACTGGTTTAGAACTTCTCTTGATTCCTGCTTCTGTAACATCCCATATTAGAGTCACTTCTCATCCCTCTTTCTAAGATCCTATGAAAGATGCAAAAGCTTACTAAGGCAAGTTCCAGACAGGAACTGCAAGAGGTGAGCAGAAGTGTATTTTGTCTCTGAAACCTCTGTTCAGAACAGTTCCTTGTTCCTTCAACTGCATTCCAATATTTACACCAGGTCCCATGGCTGCTTGTGGTACTGGGGATGGGAGGAAAACAATATTCTGCTATGGGAGTTGTTGAAGGATTAAGGCAAAGTAAAAACAAGATAAAAATCCTGCTCCCTCTGGCAGAAAGGACAAATCTCCAGGCAAGGCCAGATAGGCTACTCTTTATATGCCCTATGACCTACAGCCACTTATTAGCTTTCCTTAAGCTTCAACTGAAATGAAGATCATCATTTCATCAGACACTCAGAATAGACATGCACTATGTGGGAAGAGCTAGCTGTAGGATTGATAGGCACTTCTTGGCCATTACCCACACTTCGACTGGAAAAGTAGGGGGATGCAAATCCTGCATGGCTCTTTGTATATATTGTCTCATCTGATAGGATTATGTTGGGTGAATCAGCCAGCCAAGGGACATCTGGAGCCACCAGAAGCTGGGAGAGACAGGAAAACACCCTCCCCACCTTGATATTACCCTTTTGCCTTCCTGAACTATAGAGAATAAATTTCTGTAGTTTTAAGTCAGTTAGTTTGTGGTGATTTGTGTAGTAGCTGTAGGAAATTAGCATGCTATAATATTTACACTAGGAAGTCACATGTGGTAGGTGTTTGATACCCATTTTACAAGTGAACAAATCCAGGTTTAGAGTCTAGGTAATTTGGTTCTGATAGAATCCAGATTGCTGCCAGCACCTATACATTGCTCTGAGCCAGACAAAAGCAGAGAAGGAGCAGAAGAAGTAGTGGTAAGGTCTGAGCAAAATGCCACATAAGTTGTTGTTAGAATAAAGTAGTGAAAACTGGATTTGCCTCATTTGGGCTGCTTGTTCTCAAAGAAGCAGGCCCTCAGGGTCCAGTGTCCACATGCTTGGCCTACATGCAGCTCCCATTACAGGGCCTCCACAGAGAGACAGTGGGAATGTCCCTCCATTCAATATCAGTGAAATGGGCCTCTTCCCTGAATTTCTGTTCTGATCAAGGCGCCCCAAATCCCTGACCTCTCCTAATGGTTGGGAAAGAGCATGTTGGGTGGGGTATTGGAGACTTGTTGGGACTAGGAGAAAAGAGGACCTGCCTGGGGAGTGAAGAGCCCAGATTTCTGTGTCTCTTTTCTCCTGTTTTCTTGCTTATTGATGGGAAGGTTGGCATGTGCCTGCCACATTGTCATACCCTCACAGGCTCATGAATGGAGAATATTGTACATCTGAATAGACTATACCCAGAATCTCATTTATCCCTGACTGAGATGATGAGACTTGGAATATTCATATACTAATTTATAGACTTCATAGTTATTTGTTAACTATGTAGCCCAGGTTGACCTTGATCTCACAATCCTCCTACCTAACCCTTCCAAGTGCTGGGATTATAGGCCTGTGCTCCCAGACTGTTGAAGTTTGAGACTTTAAAACTGATTAGATTTAGACTTTTGTAAACTTTGACTTACTATTACAGTGGGTTAGATTTTTATAGATGCTGTGAATGCATTTTGTGTGTAAAGTTTTGGAGGCCAGATTGTGATCAGCATAACAATTATTCCCAAAGAAACCAACATTCTAATCCCAAACCTGTCATTATGCTGCATTATATGTCAAAAAATATTTTGCAGATGCAATTGGGAGGAGAGAAGATAAGATGGTCCTGAAATAGTCATAGTATTTTTTTAAAAGGAAGTAAGACTATTGGCACCAGAGAAGATGTAAGGACAGAAGTAGAGGTCAGAGGAATGATATTGGCTTATAAAGAGGAGGGACCATGAAGTATGAAGTATGGGCAGCTGGGAAAGTTCAGAATTAAGTTTTCACTTGGATCTTTTAGGAGGAGGGTGATCTTGCTAAATCCTGATTTTGCCTAGAGAAGCTGGTTTTGGAGTTCTGTTATTCAAAACTGTAAGATACCAGCTTTGCTTTGTTTGAAGCCATTAACTTGGCAATATTTGTTTTTTTAGCAGAAGTAAGAAAATACTACAGGGCCATGGTGATGAGAACAACTGAAGAATGGGCCTGGAGAGGAAGGTGAGGAAGAACTTGTTTTCTACAGGGCATGGTGTCCTGTGTGGTAATATTGCTGATAAGCTGAAAGAACACTAAGATTTGATGCCCAGACTTGGCAACTGGTAGGCCACTTATGAGCCCAGCAAAAACATTTTTTTGTGGAATGCAGGAGACAAAGTCTTAAGGAAAAGATTCAGAAAAGCATAGAATAGGTAAGACAGCAATACTGTCTTCTTGACTATTCCCAGTAAGGAGCAGAGATGGTCAGTGGCAAAGCCTGCAGGCTTCATATAGTTATTATAGCTTAAGCCCATAAGCTATGACTGCTGTTGAGGGACCCAGCCTAGGAGATGATCACTGTCATGCTCCTGAGTCAAGGAAGTGCTAGATTTGGCTGTATCCACAGAGTTGGCTAGGGCTGGCGAGATACCTGGAAGAAACACATGAAGAAACACATGGAAATTCTCTTTTGATTCCTTTTTATTTTCTCAGTGAAATAAAGAACAATCATCTCTTTTCCACTTGCTAAATATGCTGAGCAGGCTTGAGGGATGCATGAAGTGCAGGAAACGATAGAGATGGTTGCACATGCAGCTTCAATATTATTTGGTTGGAGAAATAATACACCGTCCAACCAGCTTGTTTTAAATTAGACAAACACCCCAGAGCCTGCCTGCTGCTGGAGAGCACAGCCCAGGTCTCTGTTTGGAGTGAGGCTCTCAGGGTGCTGAGGTCAGCTCTGTTTGACATTCCTGATGTGTGAAGGGCGGCTTAGAACAACAGCATAAGCCATGGGCATGCAGCTCCCTGGAGCTGTTCCAGGGGCCCTGCCTGAGAAATGCTTCAGTCTAGAGATTCTTCCCCAATTTTAAACATCTGTTGGTGCTTGTGGAAAATAAGGTTGGGATTGTTTTGCTCACAGCCCTGAAAGCGCCTCACACTGTTTGCAAAGCTGATGATGGATGTTGCACACTTTGGCTCAAGCTAAGCAGTTTGGCCCCTGACCAGACAACAGGGTCCCACCTGCTTGTTGGTATAATTCAGCTGTTCCCAAAATTATGCAAGAACTGAGACATATAGGAATCTATGGGGTTCCCTGAGGTGAAATGTATTGACTATTGGCTTGATCCTTGATGCATTCAGACTGCTTTCAGTTCTCAGTGCTTCCCTGTTTCCTCTTCCTCAGCCTTTGTGGAGTGTTAGGGAGAACTGTTTCACTTCTTACTGTTGTCCTTAAGTACATGCCAAAGCAAACTTAAATCTCACTCCACATCTCCAGTAAACCAGACAAATCACAGCATTGCATTTTACTTCATCATTTTTAGTCAAATTGAGGCCATCTTGGAGTTCCCATTTTCCCTGGGATGGTAAAAATCACCTTGCCCTGATTTAAAAGGACCATATAGATCCTGTGCCTCCTGCTTTTCTACTTTTGGGGTCCTCTATTTTCCTGGCCTCCTAAAGTCCTCTTCCATCAAAGCTATTGTCCAGCCCTGCTGATAGACTCCTAGGTACTGGTCTGAGATTCATGAGCTGCCCTGCTCTATATATGGCCCCTTCTCCTGGCTGAGGTATCTTATGGAGCAGGGTTTTTGTCCAGTGATGTCCAGGATAGGGAAGAATGAGAACCCAAAGAATAAGTTTTGGCTTCTTAAGTGACTGCAAACCACCTTCGTGCTCACTATAGCATTCTATAAACAGATCACTCTGGAAATCAGGACAGAGGTCTGGATGTGTGCTCACAGTCACATGGCTAATATTAGTAGGACAAATGCCATATTTTCATTCATTACACAGCAGTTCTCTGAGTTTATAGAATGTTGACACATGTATCTGTCTTCTTGCCTTTCTGAAGTCTATATGTTCTATTGTACATGATTCCTCTCTTCCTACCCATCTTTGAACAATGCAGTGAGTTGTTTACCCTCAACCCCACAGTCTTGCCCATCGACCATCTGTCTTCTATAACCAGAGTCTCCCTCTCAAAGGCCTCATCATTTTCTACCCTCCCATCAACCCCAAGCCGTGAGCCACCATGCAACTCAAACAACACCCTTCAGTGGAGGCTGTTCTGCGGATGGTGAGGGTAAAGCTAAGTTAGTCAAAGGAGGAAACCCTGGCTTTAGTGTCCACACCCAGAGTAATGTTAGAGGCTCAGAAGAGGAAGAACCAAGAGGCTAGGAAGGGGCCCCAATCATAAGACCAAAGGTCACCATGGGTGGGAACAGTAGATGGATTAGGACACAGCCATACAGTGAGAATGGCACTTGTAGATTATAAGCTCCTGAATCAACCTCATTCCAGGGCAAGGCCTGTCCTCACTTTCCTGGTGTAGTGCCTGCCTCTCTGAGGACAGTGCCAATGGATAAGTATGTGGGGCTCAGTGGAATGAGGCTGAGGCCAAAGACCTTTCAAGGTATATACATGGAAACTGGGGCAGGAGTGTAGGCAGAGTTTCTTGTTGGGACTGCTGGCTCCCCAATAATAGACACAGAGACTTTTTATTAATTATAAATGCTCAGCTGATAGCTTAGGGTTGTTACTAGTCAGCTCTTTCAACTTAAATTAACCCATATTTCTTATCTATGCTCTACCATGTGTCGGTACCTTTTTTTCAGCACATATTCATCTCCTGCTTTCTCTTTGTCTTGCTGGCAACTCTGCCCTCTTTCTTCCTAGCATTCTCTCAGTCTAGTTCTTCTATCTAACCTCTTTCTGCCTAGCTATTGGCCAGTTGGCTTTTTATTAAACCAATGAGAGCAAAAACATCTTCACAGTGTACAAAAGGATTATTCCACAGCATAGGAGGGCTTCATGCTCATTCTCTGACCAGTTAACTCCCACTGCATGGCCTATTGCCCTGAACCACAAGACACCCAGATCACAGAGGAACACCCAGCCTAATGAAAACTATGGGAACCCAGGCTTCCCCACACTGGTATCTTATCCACCATGGAGAAGCAAGGCTTTCTAAGACAATATAGAGTCAATGGAGGCTTTGGCCAGAGGACCAACCACACTTGCCCACTCTGAGAGCATGACCTCAGAAAAGAAAGTCTAGTCATACTGACAGACTTCAAGAAAACAGGTGAGCCTGGTAGCATGATGACATAAATTTCTGAACGATGAACTTGAATTCTATAGTCACACCAGGATCAGTGGCTTTACTGAGACAGAATATGCCAGACTTGTGCTTGACTTGAGGCTAGACAGACAGCTGTAGGGCACTGGGCAACCGCCCTGCCTTGGCCCCATCTATCTATGGTTGAGCATCTGTGGATAAGATGTAGTATCCATCCCAGGACCATGTCAGACAATTTTGATTCAAATTCCTATCCTTTTTAACAGTTTTCCCTAGCTTGCTTAGTGCTGGAATTAATATTTGACCTGCCCCTTGGAGCCTCCCTGTGTCCCGATGTAGAAACCTCCTCTTAAGAAAAAACTCTGCCCCTTCCTCTCTCTCCTGCTTTTCCTCCCATGAGATATACCCCCTCTTCCTCTCTCTCTCTTTCTGTCTCCCTCTTTCTGCCTCTTCATCTCTCTATTATAATAAACTCTCCACGTGGATGCAGCATCTGGGCTGTGTATTACTAGTTGCCACCACTGCTGCCATGCCCACATGGTGTGTATCTGCCCAGCCCACCACTGGATCTGCCCAGCATATTTCCCTGCATGTGTGGGATACCCTTGGAGATCTCCCCTGCATAATAATTTACAACATTTGTGCCCAGCATTGCCAGGCAATCCCACTGCTCTCTCCTACCCACTGGCAGTCTGAGGAACCCTGTACCACCCACCATTTTTCCAGCTGGAGGACCACGGGAGTCTCTTCATCCTACCAGATTGTTAAGCCTCCCTTTTGGCCATTTTCCCACAACTGAGGATTCACGCATCTCTCTCTCAATTGTAATGTTGGTCTCTTTCAGGCTCTAAGCCCCTTGGGCCTATGCCCTCCACAGTCCATAGCCTTTTGTGATGATGGTCTATTGGCTATCTTGCACCATTCATTCTTGCTGACTCTCTGGGATGGTGGAGGTCAGTCTCATTCTGCACCACATGTCTTTGGGCACAAAGCCCATTCAGCCCCATCCCTATGCAATGGCATATGGAAATGGCTTGTGTCTCACTCAGGCTCCTAGTCCTGGCCCCTGCTTTTTGGACGACAGTCCACTGAGCAGCTCATCGGTCCTCACTGAATTTCTGGGATACTAGAGATTCCAGCCTTTGGACCTTCTCTACCTCATTGTGGAAAAATGTGCTTACCCCCTCCCAGCTCCCTCCCTATCTCCCCTCCATGCTCCTGCAGCCTCTGCTAAGCAATTCCCTTGCTCCTAATTCCTATCCTTGTCTGTAATTCTGTCTCTTAAATCTTTTCTCTTTGTCACTTTAACTCTGTTGCCATGGTCTCCTGTTCCACCTGTGGGACTTTGGCACTCAGCCCTGAGCCCTGCCCCACTGACTGCCAACCCCCTTTCTCCCCCCTGGCAGCCCATGGACTAGCCACAGAAATATCTGTTCACTTGACTATATTCCTGCTGGCCTCCACTGCTCATGCTGTTGGGTCAAGCCAGGCAGAGTGTAGGCCCCATCACTACCACTGACCCATGGCTTGGGTTCATTTGTCTGCAGCTGCCTGTACCATGCTGCAGCTGGGAGGGTCCCTCTCTCCCACCCGGCTGCATGCTACTTCTCTGTTTTTCTTTCACAAAGTCCATTTCCTATGTGCGAATGGAAATGTATGACTGATTTGGCCATCTATATTTCTTTCTGACTGACTTTTAAATGCTTCAATTTATATGTTCCTTATCTGCTCAGTTTATTTTGCAAACAACAACAACAACAAAACCCATATGAACAGGTGGTCAGGCACCACATTTGATAGGAATGACCACGTGATCAGATGGCACCATCTTAAATAAGGGCAACCACGTAATCAAACTGCCATCTTAAATAGGGACAACCATGTGGTTAAAACAGGCAGGTCATATGACCTTACTGTCATTTTTACTAAGGGCAGTGTGGGTGAGGTGTTCAGTGCTCAGGCTATTGGTATAGAGGGAAGTTAGGGAATCCCACCATACATTGCTTCACCGTTGTTTCATGGGTCAAAAAAAAAAAGTCCTCTGGCTTTGGCCTGGCATTCCCCAGCTGCCTCTCTCAGGCTCTAGCCATCTGGGTAGAGGGAGGTTTAGTTGCAGCCTGACTTTTGTTCCTCAGTGGCTGCTCATGTGGGCAGGGACAACACACTCCTATGCTGGGATAGGGTAAAAGCACTAATGTTTAAGATTTTAAATTTCAGATTTTAACATTAATATTGTTACTATTTGGGCCACAAGCTTAGGATTTTAAACCTATAGGTATGAGTCTGCTGCTGCTTTTGAAATGTCCCATCCCTGCTCCAGTTCAGGAGTCTTTCTCACATGTCTGTTCCTGAGGATGGCATTTTTCTCTCCTGATTTCCAATACCAAAATTATAGGCCTGAAGGCTCCAAATAAATTTATAAAATTGGACTTTCCTCTAGTCTATATTTCAGCAAGCTGGCAGAAACATTGAAGCAGCAGTTGTGGACCACAGCCAAACATAATTGTTCCCTGACTCTACAGCCAGATCAGACAACCACATACTTCTGACAAATGCCCCATTGCCCAGCCTTTGACTAAGCCTTTCAGCCTTTTGTGGGGGGCCTGACAACAACACCCCAATGCCAGCTCAAAGCAGCTCCAGAAGAGAATACATTGTCCCATGTTCCTTGTCCAGTATAGGCTGAAATGCTGGGTCAAAAGGACACCTCCTGGCATAGAGAACTGATTGGCTATCTAATGCCCATTGATATTTATTAATTAAAATGGTTCTGCAATAAGACACTTGACCTTCTTTATGCAAAACCAGGGAGATATTATATGACCTTGAGGAATTATTATTTCTATATAAATCATTCAGGATGGAGTTTCTGATCTACCAAGAGGGTCCTTCTCTCAGAGTTGGGCTGCACCCTGACTCATAAGCCCTTTTTATCCTGTTCTCATTCGTCCTTGGGATCTTTTCCTGTCACTCTTCTTTGCTTTCTTAGGAGACAGCTTAAGAGATAATTATTTCTATATAAGTCATTCAGGATTATAATCTGGCTATACTCAAAGATCAGCCCTCCTGTCCTTATTAACTTCATTAAGCTGTAACTAACTGGGAAACCTGTATATTCAGATTTAAGTCATATATATATATATATATATATATATATATATATATATATATATATATTCTCCAAGTTATAAATACATCTAATTTTGTTTCCCCAGTCCTCAAGCACCTATAGAGATATGAGAATATGGCATTTAATAGAAAATCTTTTTATGATAAAGAGACATGTTACTCCTGGCAGCATCCTTTATCTCTTCCAAGAAGATAGATGGCCGCAGAAAAATTTGGAAGCTTATGGCAAGGCTGGCCATGTAGCAAGAAGCTGAGATCCTGTCTAGACTGTGAATTATTGGAGCGATGGGGATCAATTGTCCCCCATGCCAAAACAGGTAGGTTTATCTCCCCAAGTTTCTACTCCACAGAAAAAAAATCTGTCCGATTTTCTGGGCCTATCAGCTGAACAAATGCTACCTTTGGGGCCTCTGTCCCTCAGCAAGCATGGAGAGACTTGGAATTGCTGCCTAGGTAACTGGAAAGCTGTCTTACTTCTTAAAATTTATCCTTCTCATATCTAATCATGTTTGATGACTAGGGTGTATCAGTTTGACAGCCCCAATCTGAAGATTATTGACAGTTCATTAATAATAAGTTTCCTATTAAAATTACAGACAGCTATGCCTCATTCACAGACTTCATGATATAGGATAGACTGGTTTCAGATATAACTCAAAAGGTTCAAAATTTTAATATTGGTAAATGGAGCTTTGATAAACTGATACAACATTGACTACAAACAGTTCTTAAGAGTCCTTTTGGATTTTTTAACCCTTTTGCTATGATGTAAATCTATTCTAGCTGTCTTACAGATACCTACAGGTCCCTGGGAAAAGTTCTGCTACTGCATCAAAAAATCTGGTCTGGTGAAACCTAGCAGTTTTCAGAGCCCATTTTAACCTCACCCATTTTCAAGCATATCTTGCAGTTTCCCTCCGCTACCTGGAACAAGGGGCTCTCCAGATATGCCAGCCCCTGCATAAGTTGGCACCAGCTCCAAGGATGCCAACCCCTAACTGAGGATGTCAACTGGGAGAGATGCACCTCTAGAAAAATGACAGATATGATGACTCCTATAATCCTGAAGAACACATCCTTCAACTCGCTGCTGGTATCACCTCTCCAGGCTCAGGTGGGCATCTGCCCAGCAACTGGAACCTGTTCAACCTTGCCTTTTCTGTACAACCAGGACACTTCTCTGTTCCATTCTTTCTAGCAGTTATCACCCTACCCAAGGCTAGCACAACTCATAAGGCCAATGATAACAATCTATTTTTTCTTCTAGCAACCTCAAGGAACAGGCACCTGAGATCTCCATGCCAGAGATTTCCATGATGACAGCTAACAATGCTTCTTCACTCATGCCTCCCACCATGCATGACTCCCGGCTTTTCCCCTCCTCACTTTGCCCCTTGCCAGCTTGAAATGGCCTCAAGAATTCAGCATCCTTGCTCCCCCACTTGCTCTCATAACTTACCTCTTTCTATAATAATCAAAACGGAGGAATGTTAATATTCTGATCTGTCCCTTGGGGCCACCCTGCATCCTGACATAGGAGCCTCCTCTTAAGAAAAAACTCCACCCCTTCCATTCTCTTCTACTTTTCTTCCCATGAGATGTGCACCCCCTCCCCCCACTGTCTCCCTCTTTCTGTCTTTCTGCCTCTTCATCTCTCTATTATAATAAACTCTCCACATGGATGCAGCATCTGGGTTGTGTATTACTGGCTGCTGCCACCACCGCCATGCCCACATGGTGTGTATATGCCCAGTCCACCATTGGATCTGCCCAGCATGTTTCCCTGCATGCACAGGATACTTTTGGGGGGTCTCCCCCACATAATAATTCATAACAGCTGGTCTCTGTGTAGTGTGTGGCTGGTAGATCTGGTCCATGGAGTATTTTTCAGGAGTAGGGCCAGTACTAGAGACATTATTGCAGATTTCCAGGAGATAAAATCTCATACCCCTTCAGACACATATATCTGTCTCTATCCTTAACTACCTGCTGATCAAGTTATATGTTTGGGATTCCTCTGTGATGCTCAGATCCTGACCCTGGCATCTTAGTATCTAGATACAGTCTGACATGCTCTGCAGTTGTGGGTAAAGGCCAGTATTCTATCAGCCCCCAACGTGGGACTAATTCATATTCTTCTCTTTCTTTTATCATCAGCCCTGACTCTGCAGATGAGTATGGAGTAAGAAGCTAGAGGTCATGCATTATTGGTAAATGAACACATGCTTGCATATGTGTATATGTTCTCCTTAAACAGCTTCAGAGAAAAAGCAGCCTAGACATGGAGGCAGAGGAATGAAGTACAAGGTGCCTGGAGGCTCCCTCCTAGAGCTGTGTGGGAGTAGATAGGACCTAAGGCCAGAGAAAGAGCCACCTACCCCAGGCATATGTTGGGATGCTATTTCTCACATATTCACATTTCTACTTTAACTTATGTGGGTGTTCTGAAATGAAGAACCATGAGACTTTTCATATGTCAACCAGGTTTAACTAAAGTCAGAACTCTACCCCACTGCCTATTCTGGGAGATATGGAACCTTTCCCCATAGTTGCCTTTTCTACATGGTAGGGAGTCTGAAGCCCCAGGTGCTCAGGTTCTGGTCCCAGGAAGCAGAGAAAGACACTGAGTACTCACAGTGTCTCTTTAGGTGACAAGTTGTTTACCCTATACTTTGCCATTTCTTCCCAGATAGGTAGACCCTTGATCAGAGCAAGGTAGGAGCAGAGGTCAGGCTTGTCTGTCCCTCACAAGGCTTCTAGTGTACAGGCACTTTTTCTTAGGCACACACTGTAGATGTAACCAACCGTCTTATTAAATAAGAAACATAGAACCAATGTAAAGAAGAAAGCCAAGAGTTCAGAGCTCAGAGCTAGAACCTTACCCTTCCTCCTGCAGTGGTCCTACCTCTCCAAAAGAGACCTACTTCCTGTGTGTTTGTCTTGATATAGTCTTTCTGTTTTGCCTTCTCATTGGTTGTAAACCCAAATACATTACTGCCTCGTCACTGCCTGTAAGTACAGCCCTCTAGGTCTTAAAGGCATATGTCTCCAATGCTGGCTGTATCCCTGAACACACAGAGATCTACCTAACTCTGTCTACCAAGTGCTGGGATTAAAGGCGTGCACCACCACTGCCACGCTCTTTCTATGGCTCTACTAGCTCTGACCCCTAGGCAACTTTATTTATTAACATACAATTAAAATCACATTTCAGTACAAATAAAATACCACCATAGCGCGCACACACATACAGAAGCTGCCCCTTTAAGGACAATGAATGTCCTTGTAGTGCCCCCATCAAATAGACCCATTCATGTGCCCATGTTAGAGCCCAAGGGCTCACTGAAGTGGCTCAAATGCCTCATACAGATACTATGCACTCTCGTCCAGTCTTACTGTCACTGTCTACTGACTATACTGTCTACTGACCCCTGGGAACACAGAGCCAGGGGGCCTACACACCTTTGAGCTCTGAGTTGCTAGCATAGCAGATCTGTTGGGAGAGGCTTGGGTGTGTCAGGAGCCCTTACTGCTAGGGTGGGTATTCTATGGCTGATGACTGGGCCAAGGTCCAGATCTAGAGAGTCTTGCCAGGAGCCACTTCCTGGTAAGGATCAAGGTCTTTGAGTGAGAAAGGGACCTGCCTCCAGGGTTGGGTATGACTATGTGGAGACACACAGTCCCATTGTAAGCTGTCTGGGTATTTGAACAACTATTTAAGTGTGGTTCACCAAGCCCCAGGATCCAGGAAGCATATTCAGGCCATTTAAGGAGGAAGAGGTGGAGGCCAGAGTGGGTCACTCATTAACTCTGTTGAGTTTTCCTCACTCAGTATATGTGTGCCATGGTTGACTGAAGCTATTGCTTCATTTTGTCCATGGGGCAGAAGTTAGCATTCTCTGGGACAGTGAACCTGAGATGTGCTCCAGGTGGAAACATGGAGAGATTCGGAAGCACTTGGAAATTTTAGTTTGTTGGAATTTAGCACTGTGGATGTGAGCTGGCCATACCACACAGAGACTTGGTTCAGGGTAAGGATACTAGCAAACTCCTCATGAGAAGCAGTAGAGGGTGCAGTCTACACAGGTCTAGCCTACCTAGACCTGTGAGGATCCAGGATGACTCCTCTACCTGGCACAGGATGGAGGCTCTCATACTGTAGATGCCTAGAAACAGAATCAGCAGCCTGGCATCCATGCTTCTCTCCTAGCAAATTTTCCTTTCAGGTGGTGTGGCCTAGGTGCTCTACCCAACCTCATTTTGGGGCCTTCCTAGCTTTATTAGCCAACTACCTCAGTCTTGGCCCATTTGGGAAGCTGGAGAGCATGTCCTTTGGAAATGACCCCAGTTTGTGGTTGTTCTTGGTATAGATGACCTCTGCTGGGGATGAAGGGTCTCCCCCAGCCTTGGTTTGGGATGAGAAATGTGCTCTGTCCTACATTCACCAAGTAATATTTTGCTCTTTAACTTTCAGAGTCATATTTGAGGCTAGGCCTGGGTCCTGCATATCTCTGGTGACCCTGGAATTTAGGGCTGGCTTCTCTTAGGACACTCCAGTGAGTGCCTTATGGTGTTCAGATCTGAGATGGCAGAGCTGGAAGCCCTTACTGTTCCCTACTGAGCCTTCAGCAGAGGAGCGATGTGACCTGTGTAAAGGAACACATTTTTTCTACAGTGGCCTGAGAGTCAATCCCTGTTCCATACAGTACTTCCGCTCCTCTGGCAGTCCCTGCTTAGCCTGGCTCTAAACACTAATATCATCCCAGGGCAGACATAATTTACTGACATGTGTGTATGTTCTCTGCAGAGTTCCTACAGGTGGGTCTCTGTCTTTTCCTCTGTATGTTGAGGTACTGTGGCTGATATTAGGCAAATATTTGCTACAGCCTGGTTAGAGGCATTTGTGGACCAGGATGGATTCCTACCCACTCCAATACTTGCCTGCAGCTTCTAACCAGGCTGTAGCAAATATTTGCCTAACATCAGTAAATTTTGTCTTGTCTGAGGAGTAAAAAAAGAAATGCTCTATAAGAAAACAGAATCAAATGAGTGAAGACTGGGTAGAGGAGGGTACAGCCTTCATGGGGTGGGTTTGGTACGAAGACTTTTATGTGGTCCTTGGGCCTTTGTACCTAAGCCTTGGCCTAGAACTGCAGGTGGTTATGGTAGGTAGGTGCTGTGGAGGCATATGAATCTGAGTTAAAAGGAGACTTCTAAGGAGTGCTCCAAGCTCAAGTGGGAACAAGGGATGGGGAGGATGGTGATCCAATGTCATGGTGTGATCAGGAGAGCCCAGGGTCCTTCTTTGCAGTGAAAATATGTAGCAACTAGTAATACAGTGAGGAAGGGTAGTGGCCTCAAGCAGGGAGATGGCTTTAATGTGAGACCTGTCCCCAAATCACTCCTCCCTCCTCCTTTTGAGATGGCACAGCATGGGTGTTGATCCAGCATGAGGTCTCTGTGGCAGAAGGGTGGGATCCTGGAATGATCCATATTGTTCCCAAGGGAACATTAAACCTCACTCCTGGTTCATACGATAGGAGCCCATTGTGGCCACCCACCATCCACCACCATGTATCCAGCTGTGAATTTCACAGGCATCTGTATCAAATTACTGGCTCATGTCATGTATAAAATTAGAGACAGGAACTCTCTGAAAGGCAAAAGCTACCACTATTCATTCCAATGTGATCCATGCACCCCCCCCCCACTCACTGGGGTGCAAAAAGGGAAGGGGAAGATGACACTGCCTATACAAGTAGAAGAAACCCCAGGGTGTGTGGGTCAAGCCTAAAATGGATGTGGTGGGAGACCCTGAAAGACTAGAAATGAGATGGATGGGGTGTGGGAGGCTGATGCCTGGAGAGTGCTGTAGCCATACAACATCCTAAACCCAGCCATCATCCCCAAAGTTTGAGTTGTTCAGCCTTTGTCTCCAGTAGGCTGACAGGGCTCCTTGGAGTTTAGAGAAAATTGTCTCACCAAACCTCCTGTCCACGTCCCCTAGGGTATCTAGACAAAGGACCTGCAGACCAAGATGGCTACCCCAGAATCATGTACTACCACTATCCTCTTCACCCAAATTACCCAAGGCCCTGGTTCCCCTGGAAAAGAAAGCACTTCAGGGATGGTTTCTCAAGTCTTCATGTAAAACACAACCTCTGCACAGAGCTGGCTGGGGTCTCCAGATCCCTGATGAGACTCGTTTGCCTCTCCAGGGCCATTTGTATTCATCTCGGCATTTGTCATTAAACATTTTCCCATTTTTTCTATGATAATAGAGAAGTTTTATATTTTTCCTATTCATTCTATTATTTTATATTTTTAATCCTTCACTGTTTCTGTTGGCTGTCTGTTCTTTTATATTGCTTTTTGGGAGCTCTATGTATACACTGAGCATCAAGACTTTGGGTTTATAGTGCCAACATTGCCATTTTACCTTTCTAATGGTGCTACTTTTGTCACATAGAAGTTTAATTTTTTTTTTTTTTTTACAAAGCCAAATCTGTCAGTTGTTTCCTATAACTTGTCTTTTGTCTGATTTCCTGAGAGGGTGAAGACTTCATTTTGTGTTGTCTTCCAAAACTTTTATAATTATGCTTTTTGTCTCTAATCTAAGTTTATTTTGGGGTATGGGGTGAGACAGAGTGGAACCATTTTTCCACATTAAACCTTGGATATATTG